GTACAGACACCGCAGATCTGCTCTGCTCTGCCCTCCCCACTGAGATTCGGGTGTAGTTCCACTGCAGCCCTCAGACCCCCCCGCCTCTGCCTGCTGCAGGTTCGGTCGGCCGGGTCTTGTTAATTAAACAAATAGGTGAATAAACAAACGGAACTTTGTTTTCATTTCAATGCGACACTGCAAAAAGGCTACACACACTGAGAACAGCAGCTGCACACAGCCCCCTCTCGCACCCCCAGCACCCTGGGCCTGCTCGGGCCCCCGACACTGTACAGACAGCAAACGATAGCGGGCCTTTTGTCCTCAGCAGAAAAACTCTTTTCATTTCTTTATTATTTGCCAGTCAAAGTCGTTTGACAGCAGCACAAAGACAAGCCAGGCTGACCCACAGTGAGCTCGGGAACCGCAGCCGCAGTGTCCCTTGCGGGGCAGAGACACCGTAGCCCCAAGCCCTGATCCCACCCCCCTGCGAAGGAGTTTCCCGCACTAGTTTTTCTTTTTTTGAAGTTCTTTAACTTCAATTAACAAACGCAAGCCCATATTGAGGCTACTAGTCGCGCATGCGGCTAAATCCCACACTCCACAGCCCGCAACTAGCCAGGCCTCGCCTGCTGCCCATTGAAATGCGGGCCTTTGTCTTGCTAGCTTTCCCTAGAGGCCCCAAAGAACTCTGTCTTTTAAATAGCTGTGCTTTTCAAAGCTGCGCACAGAAACACCCACAATGGCTGAGCTGCTGCTGCAGAGCCTTCGAAACTGAGCGGGCAGTCTCGAGCCAAGTGCAAGGCGAAATGTCTCACTGAAAAATCCCGCTGTCTTCGACTGGGGTATGCGCGTTTATGTGCTGCTAAATAAAAAAGTGCTGGCCTTCGACTTTGGTCGTTCCAACGCGACTTGGATTTAAAATAAACTGAGCCCCCCTGTCATAATAGTGGGACTGCTGTAACGAGCTTTAGCTGGCTGCTGCTACAAAAAGTACAGAGTGTGGTGGAGGCTTGGTGAGCTGGTGCAGCAAGTTCATTTGGGGGCTTTACACTCGCGCAAGAACGAAATTAACAAGTGCACTCCTTCAGACTTTTCTCCGAGACCTGATATGGAGTGTCAGAACACTTCTTTTGCTCATTGGAGATGCAGAAGTTGCAACAAAAGATTTTGTCCTTGACTAACAAAGAAATATCTCTGTTGGGCTTGTGAATTCTAATGAGTTTAACTTCATCCTGCATTAGTTCCTGTAGTTGAATCGGTTGGTAGCTCTCAGCTGAGGCAGGACCCCAAGGCATTTGGCCTAAGGGGCAACCTGTAATGGTCTTAATTTTGTTTCAGTAAGCCTTAATAATTCACAAAGTATATATTCAGTGGCTTGCAATTGCCTGTATGCACTTTGCTAGGCGGAAAGCACTCTGTGTTTATGCACCAGCCCCTGAGAAGTGGTGTTTGCACCTGCCAGACTGTTTGCAAAAAGATGCACTAACAGCCTTCGCCACTTGACATCTTCCCCAATTATCAAAACAATTGGCAATTATATGATAATTCCTCAATTCTGTGATAAGTTTAAACTCAAAATGCCGGTGGTTCACACCCCCAATTCGCCTTCGACCCGCTTAAAGGAGGCCCCCCGCGAGCCTCCTACGCACGACAACGAACGGGCTCAGAGATGGCAACTACCAGTCTAATTACTGAAATTGATAAACTGATTTCTTTCAACAATTGACATACTGCAGAATTTTGCCACAAAGCCGCTACAAGATCGAGCGAATCTGCCGTTATTGCATGAAACTGCATCCACTGAACTTTCAGTTTCCTCTAGAGGCAATAACTCTTGCTGTCCGCGTAAACCCCATTTTAAGAAATAAGACAATTGTAGTAAGTCGCGTTGTTTAAGGTAGTCAGAAGAGCTTCGGAGCTACAGCGTCTCCTGGGTAGCTCTCTGATGTTCTTCAAAGTAAAAGAGAATACAAATGCTTTGGAACAAATTTTTGGAATTAAGTGTACAACTTATCAACAGACTTTACGCAGGAACATTGAAAAATGGAAAAGCGAGACCCCAATAGCAGTACACTCTGAATTCCACAACAGGCAGCATTGCTTTCAATATCAGGATGGTATAAATGCAGGCTGGGCTTCTCTCTGCCAGCTCATCAATCTTTGCTGCCACAGTGTCCCGTTTAGTACGATTTGCTAAATGGCTCCTCCTGGGCATATTCAAGAGACTTAAACAACTTAAATCTCAGCTAAATACTTCAGCAATGGATAAACATCGGCGCAGAGAGCGCGAGACTACAGAATCGAGCAGAAGCCTGGTGGCAGTTTGCTCTTTATACCCAAGTTCCGGGGCCCCATTAACTCCCACTAGCCCCAACACTCGTTCCTTTATGGCTTTTTCAACACTACTCGTGACATTATCTTCGTTTTTTATCAACAATAAATAAATATTGTGGCGTTTAGAGAGCTTGTTAGAACGCTGCCGGATAAACGGAAGCTGTAAGAAAACGATATGAAGAAACAGAGTTTTCCTCAACAGCTAATTCTCATTCAGCTGGCAAGATAATGATCAGGCTCACTCATGTGCCTTACCAGCACAAAGCCAAAACCCTCACAAAGCCCTCAAAGACTCCATCATAGCGCAATGCCAGAAAAGCTACTTCCCAGGGGCATCCAGCAAGAACCACCTGTCTAAGAGAAACTGCACAGAAAAGAAAGCAAAAGACTTTTTCTACATTTGTGGCGCCTTCTTTGTGTTCCAAAGATGCAGGAGCTGCCACTGCAGCAGTGACACTCGACTGGCGCCTTCAGCTGGCTCTATCATTCAGTTTGTCTCATGGTGTATGCCCCGAGAAGCTGCTTTTCAAGAGGCATTTCCTGAACAGTAATGGAAAGCAAAAATAAATTCGAAAATAAATATTTTGTCAGTGCCAAAGTACCAGTGTCGTTTCCCCTTATCTTTGTCACGCTTACAGCAGGAGGGCACTAGGATTCTATTTTCGACTTGCTTGAGACATCAATTTTACTTTTCTCTAGAAATTGTAATGCACACCAAGACGAATTAAGCAACGCCTGACTAATTTTGGTGGTTAAAATTGCTCGCTTTCCCTCACCAGCAACAGGCTTCTGAGGCCCCTGGACCCCGGGCCCATTTGAAGTTACTTAAAGGCAAGTAGGCTATTAAATGCGCTTAGAGAAGGCCTCAGAAGTTTAGGGAAGTTGAGGCAACAAAAGATGTCTGTTCACTTCAAGCAGATCCGCCGTCCCGTAAGGAGTGTGTACACTCAAAGCCGTAACTACACCTTTTAAGATAACTGCAGCGCCCTTGTACGATGAAGCTGTTTCCACAACTGTTGCATGCAAAGCCTAGAAGGACTCTGATAGTTTAAAGGCTAAAGGAACTCCAAAAAGCCTTCAGTGCCAAACTGCTTTGCCTGTAGAGGCAAATAGCAAGACAGATTGCAGATTGCCCGTTTAGCTCAGCTAAGCTTCATGAGGCCAGTAGGGGCCCCTTCCGGGGCCGCTTCAGGGGCCCCCCCAGAAACCTGAGGATCTCTTTTTCTGTGCAGCTGGCACTATGTGGGGGGGCAGCAAAAAAAAGCGCACAAAAGAGTAAAATTACACATCTTTGTATCTGTCATCTGTTACCACCACGTTCTAAAGCGGCAGGGCCTGCAACTGCGCCTGCAGAAGCCAGGTCCCGCACCCGGGGTGACGCCCGCCACCATGTGCTGCAGCTGCAGCTCGTGCTGCTGCTGCTGCTGCTGCTGCCGCTGCTGCGACAAGGCAGACAGCCCCCTCAACCCTCCCCCAATGCCCCCAAGCACCCCACTGCAGCAGCTGCTGCCGAAGCTGCTGCTGCAGCTGAAGGCTGGCGGCCACTTTGGGGCCTCAAGGCATGGGCACTTGCAGTGTCTCGAAGGCAACATGGCAAGGGAGAAGCAGAAAGCAAAGACAAATGCATTAAAAAGGAAACGGGGCGCAGACAAACATGCAGAAATAACACTCTTCGAGGCCCAGACTGTGCTTCTTGTTCCCAAATCATCAGCTCGAAGCAACAAAATGGCAGTCTTTCTTTAACTCTGTCTTTGTTTTTCTATTCTTCTTTTTTTGCTGGCCTCCGTCTCTCCCCTGCTCGCTGTGTCCGGCCGGCTGGGCTTTTAACCTGCAGTTGCTGGCCTGTTGTCTTTGCTTCTGCTTCAGCCTGCATTCACGTTCAAGTCCGCGTCCAGGACTTGTTTCTTTTAGTCTTTCTTTCTAAAATATCTTTTATTTTGCCTTTTCTTCTTTATTTCTTCGCTTGAACTTCTTTCTTAGGCTGAGCCCACTTCCATATCGCAATGGCCCCGTCATCCCCGCAAGTCACAAAGTGCGAATTGCCCAGCGGGCAAATTGCCCGCACATCTCCCGCCTCGTGCGCAGGCAGCGTCCCTTGCTCTGAGAAACCAGCCAAACCCTAAACCCTAAACCCTAAACCCAAAACCCTAAACCCTAACCCCCAATCCTACGCGCTAAATCCTGGAAAGGGGAATGTGGTGTGAGGCAGACTGGGGTACGAAGGCATCAAAAGGGGAAGCAAAAAAGGAGGAAAAAAGACATCCACAAAAACTGAAGAACACCGGCACAAAGCCCCAATTGCCTGCATACGCTGCATGCACGCAAAATTGACCAGCTGACTGTGGGTTTAGTGAGTTCTTAAGGGCCCGTCTGCCTCCAATTGCTCCTATTTGTGCCCCTTTGCTGCTGCTGTTTGGCTTTTTAGTGCTGCTGTTTGCCTCTGTTTGTCTCACCCTCAAACTCCGGGACCTTGAGGACTTTAATGGAGGAGTTTCGCCCTCCAGAGACCAGCACTGGGCCTGCGGGGGATATCAGCCCTGCAAAGTGCAGCACAGCAAACTGGACTTAAGCAGAAAGCCTCGGAAGCAGCAGCAACGCAGCAGTCTGCAATAAGACACGCGAGGCTAAACGAGGCTGGGAGCGCTCTGCTGCAGCTCCCATAAACCTGCTGCTGCAGCAGCTAGCTGCTGCGCAAAGTAGCCCCCTCCAGAAGACGCGCGCGCTGCTGCGCGCCCACAGGCGCATGCACCACAGGCTTTGCTGCAGCGCTGCAGCAGCAGCAGCAGCAGTTCCTTACCCTCCATGGCCGAAAGATAATCCGAAGCAAAACAGTACTGCCGCTCCCCTTCTGCGGTGTAGGCCGTAATGGCCCCGCTGGCGAACCCCACGAGCAGAAAGTCGTTGAACGGCAGCAGCGCCTGCCAAGCAAGCACACCCATAAACCCTAAACCCTAAACCCTAAACCCTAAACCCTGAGGTCTCGGCAGCAAGCGCTATGCTCACAACCCTCGTTGCGACAAGCTTAGAGGCAGCAAAGAATGGCGCCCAGCCCACAGAGCCTGGCCTGGGCTGCTACCGGGAAAGGCCTAATTAGGATTTAGGGTTTCTGAGAAGGGTTTAGGGTTTCTGAAAGAGGTTCAGGGTTTCTGAAAGGAGCTGCGCACCAAGACCAGCGGAGGCCCGTTGCCCTTCACATCCGAAATGTCCAACACGCGCAAAACCTGCAGCGACTGCAAGTCCACGATCGACAGCGCAGTGCCCCCCACCCACAGCACCCTGCGCAGCCAAAACCCACACAAACCCTAAACGCTAAGCCCTAAACCCTAAACCCTAAACCCTACTAAACCCTAGGTGGAAAGCACCAAGTACAGGGGGTAAACATATGCACAGATCACAGCTGCAGACAAAGCTAGGCCAAAGCGGGCAAGAGGGGCCCCGATACAAAAGGCAGCAAATAAAAGAAATAATTTGACAAAACAAGAAAAAAGAGAAAACGCAAAAATGAAATAAATGAATTTAAAGAGAAAAGGAAAAGACGCACTTCTTGGAGGCGGGCTGGGCGACCGGGGGAGTGCCCAGGGGGGCCGGTGCAGCAGCAGCAGCAGCAGCAAGCGGCACATCTGCTGTTTGCATGCAGCAAACGCTGCCTTCAACCTGCAGCGAGTGGACCTTCGTGAAGGCCTGCGTGGCCTCTTCAAACTTCCAGAAGCAAATCTCTCCCCCCCAATCTCCAGACACCAACACCCCCTCCACCAGCAAAAGGCAGTAAACACTTTTCGAGTGCCCCTGAGCCCAAAAACCCACAACTCCTTTTCCCTTCAAAAACGCTGCTGCAACTCCACATGCATTGAACTAGCTGCTGCTGCTGCTGCTGCTACTCGCTGCTGCTGTGGCTACTCGCTGCTGCTGCTGCTACTCGTTGCCGCTGCGTCCACTCGCTGCTGCTGCGGTTACTCGTTGCTGCTGCTGCTGCTGCTGCTCTTCTCTGCTGCTGCTGCTGCTGCTCTTCTCTGCTGCTGCTGCTGCTACGTGAAGGTACCTGGAGCTCCTTGACATCTCCGTTGGCGAGGAAGGCCTTAATTCGGCCGTCTGCGAGCCCGGCAAACAGCGCGCCGCCCAGCATCTTCAAGCAGCAAACTTCAGCCCCCAAATCTGTACAAGTCAGACAAGAAAGGCCCAGCAGCGGCTCCCCGCTGCTGTCCAGTTCGCCCCCAAAGTTGCCAGCAGCACCAGCCCCCCCGTTTCCCCCGGGGCCTTGCGGCGCTGCTTGAGTTATCTGCCACCGCTGCAGCCACAAGAGCAGCACATGCAACAATTGGCACAGAGAATGGGTTCCCACACCCCCAGGTGCTTGCTGCTGCTGCAGCAGGAGCGGTAGGCACTGCTGCAGCAGCAGCCCCAGCTCCACGCCAAGCCGTACGCTCAAAGCCACCAGGACAAACGAGCAGCAACAGCGGTGGCAGCAACAGCAGCAACGCAAACAGCTGCAACCGCAACGCGAACAAAACAAGGGCTGCTGGTCGCCACACAACTATTACATCCGCCTTCTCGAGCCGCAGCAGCAGCAGCAGCAGCAGCAGCAGCAGCTCACCATGAGCTTTTTGTCTTTGCCTCCCGTGAAAATCTCAGACGCTGCGGGGTTGACGACGCAGCAGCGAACGCTTTTGCCGCCATGGGCCTCTTCTTGGTAGCCCACGCACTCTATGGCGTGGGCATATCTGCAGCAGCAGCAGCAGCAGCAGCAACAGCAGCAGCAGCAAATGAAAAAGAAGTCAACAGCCGCCCCGTCCTAGCGCCTCTATGAGGACAATTCCCTCTTTCTAAGCACCCTGGCGTGCACGTCAGAGAAAGTCTTCAAATATAAAAATGCATTTCCATTTGCATTATTTATAAAGTGTGGCAGGTTCTTACTTAATATATGACTGCATGCCACACATTGTATACAAGTGTTATGTATATACATGTATATATATATATATATGCATAATATATATATTACACATATATGTTATGTATGGCATATATATACATACATGCATATTTTGTGGCATGCACACATATATTTTATCGTGTATGCCATGCAAATATATATAAAGTTATGTATGTTATCATACATATATAAATGTAGAGCAAAACATGAGCGCAGCCCAGAGCAAATCTTAATCCATTTAGTAAATGCAAATAAAGTAAATGTGCAAAATAATAAAAACAAAAAGAGCCCGAAAGCAAACAAACAGGGGCACGGGACAGCTTGCGAAGTTGAACCAGAAGCCTCACCTGCATCTGCTGCCGAAACGGCACTCTCCTGCAGCGCAGCAGCAAACAGGCAGCAGCAGACAAAGCTAGATAGCCGCAGGAAGCAGAAGCAGAAGCAGCAGCGCAGCAGCAACAAAGACACGCGCGACAGCCACCGGCCAAAGCCCAAGAAGCGCCCTAGCTGCTGCTGCAGTGGACATACACCCCGCTGCTGAATGCGCAGCACTTGCTGCAGCAAATAAGTCACTTTCAAATTAATTAAAAAGCAAAAGACACAAACTGGCCCACCGTAATAAGCAAAGTTCTGACAAAAGGGGGGGGCCCCCTGCTTGGGGGGCGGGGGGGCCTCTTTCATCTTCACAGAGTCCTCTCTGAATGCAACCAAAACGCAAAGCAGCTTTTTGTTTCATTTATGCTTCTGTTAGTCTTTCAAATGTCCTTTATTTGTGCTTTTTGTCTTTTAAATGCCATTTATTTGTCTTTTTTGTTTCAATAAACGCAAAATATGCCCCATTTCCTCACCTGCTGTACTCTCCCTGCTGCTCATATCGGCCGCGGGCCCCGTCGCCCCGTCCCCGCCGCCTGCAGTAAGACCCTGGGGGCCCCCGGGGGGCCCCCCGGGGGGCCCCCCTGGGGCCCCCGCTGCTGTTGCCGTACCAAGAGGCCCCAGGGGCCTCCTCCCTGCCCCAGCACCTGCCCGCATTGGGGCCCCCGTACCCTCCGCCTCTGCCGCCGCTGCGGCTGCTGCCGGGGGGCCCCCTCTCGCCCCAGGGGCCCCCTCCCCCGCCCTCAGGGGGGGGCCCCCACCCTCCCCGGGGCCCCTCGTAGCGGCCATTTGTTCGGAAAGAAGGGGGGGGCCCATGATAATCTAAGCAGCAAAAGGCAAGCAAGAAGACGCAGCAGAGCCACAAGCAACACGCATGCACGCTCCCCAGCCTTTGGCAGCTAAGCAGCTCCTGCTGCAGCTGCAGCAGCAGCTGCAGCAGCAGCAGCCGCTGTAGCTGCTGCAGCTGCTACAGCTGCTAATTAGGCACCTCCCACCGCTGCTGCAGCGACAACGCCTGTAGAAGCGGCTATCGCGGCTGCAGCAGCTGCTGGAGCTGCCTGCAGCAGCTGCTGGAGCTGCTGCTGCAGCCGCAGCAGCAACTCCTGTTGCTGCTGTTGCTGCTGCGGGTGCCGTGCTGCTAGCCCCCACAGCAGCAGCCGAAACAGCCTAGTTCAATTATTTTAATTAAATGCAAAATCTTGTAATCTTTCCTTCCCAAAGACCCCCACTGCTACTCGTGAGACCCACCACGGTCGCCGCGCCCTCTTTGTGCCCCTCTGTATCCCCCGCGGTTCATTGGCGTGCCTCGTGCTGCTGCTGCTGCTGCTGCTGCAGCTGCTGCTGCTGTTTGGGAGAGCCCGCTCTAGGGGCGGAGGCCAACGGCGCTGAGGCTGTATGCCCCCTCGGCCTTGCCCATGGCAAGCGCTGAGAAAGGAGCAAAGCCTTTTGCATGCAGAAACCCTCGAAGCAGCTTCAGTTCAAACCCTAAACCCTAAACCGTAAACCCTGCGGGCGCAGCGGGCTCTGGATGCCGCGAGCGCGCCTCGACCTGCTGCCTTCGGAGCAGCAGCAAAGGAAAGAATAGCAGCAGCAGCAGCCTCGAGCTGCCTCTGCAGAGGAGGGGG